TGGTCTAAAGCACCTACTTAGAACATGCTTAGCAAAGCACAAAAACCACTGTTCAATCCCCCAGCACCACATGCCAGCCAGCCCCGCCCCCTGGTGGGCTAAGCTGGCCACACACATACACACACACACACACACAATAAATAAATAAATTTTTTTTAAAAAAGTAGTCACATCATTTAATGCCATCATTAAACATGCATGGATATTATGTGTTTAACATTATTAATGCTAAGTTTAAAGACCCATGGTTTATTTAAATATAGTTATAATAGTATAAAATTATACATCTTATAATAATGGTAACATTGGTTGGAACAAAATACTGATGTTTTTAGGTGAAAGATGCACATTTTTTATCAGTGATATAAAACCTATCCCCTCCTTCATATTTTAAAAGTTTACATTTCTTCTTCACATGCTTCTTCTCCTTCGTATGAGCATCTATTTGCAAAACAGCACCATATATCCTTCTGGTGGCTAAAGAGAAAGTAATGGAAGAGTGTAAAACACTAATCATCACTAGTTTGCCTCATTGTCTATATGATTCTTATATGTTTAGGCTAGTTCTTCTAGGGTGGAAATCTAGGAGTGCAATTAGGGATCAAAACATATAGACCTTTATTCTATCAATGCATTTTTGTGCTTTTGTATTTTGAACGCATTTTGTTCAGTGGCTCTTGACTGGTGACCACTGGAGATCGTGCCTTTATTAGTACTGTTCTAACTTGTAAAAGCAGGAAGTGGGAACTCGGCACCCGTGGGGCTGGCTGCCACCCCTCGCTGCATCCCAGGTCACTCACCCTTGCTCACACTGCACTAGTCTCACCCTCTCTAGGTCTTGGTGCCAGAAAAACAAAAAGTGACCCTTTGGGCATGCCAGCCTCTCCCCTACTGTTCTCTCAACCTGAGACAAACTTTCTCCTACTTCCCGCAGCCTCTCAGAGGCAAGGAGGTGAGCCTGCTTCTTGGAATCCACAACCACTTTCAGTGTGAAACGTCTGTGACCTCAGAGGGTCTGCCCGTGCTGCTCCTTTGATCCTCGGCTGCTAGCATCACAGTCAGTGCACTGGAGATGCTCAGGCACCACTGCAGTAAGCAGAGGCTCGCTCCTGGAGTAGTTGCTGGACTACTGTGTCCAGCCCTGGGTTAATAGCCCTGTTGGGGGTCCTGTTGTCCTGTTGGGAGGGTGCAATATTAGCTTCCTCCTGTTGTCACTCCTCTGGATGCTTTTAGATAACAGAGCTGTATCTCTTACTTTGTCCTCTTCTAATAGCGGCTGTCCTCCTATTTGTCATACTCCACCTTTAAAACATGCAAGCACACACTTCATAGAAACAAAAGCAATTTTAGCATACCCTGCTCCTTCTATACATGTACTGCATCTTCCTTTTATATCCAAATCCAAAAACTTGCCCACTTTCTACATCCAATTTCTCATCCAAAAGATAAGACTGGAAGAAGAAATCGAAAGAGAGAGGCTAGGGAGATAGCTTGGGGGTCTAAGTGCTTGCTTGGCAAACACAAGAACACAGGTTCAATCCCTGGTACTACATGCTGTGCTGGCCACCAAAACTTGGCATGGTGGCACATGCCTATAATCCCAGAGTTGGGGAGGCTGAGACAGGAAGATCACTATGCATCTGAGATGTGTAATGAGATCCTGTACCAAATAAATAAATAAATAAACAAACCAATATATGAGGAGAGAGAGAGAGAGAGAGAGAGAGAGAGAGAGAGAGAGAGAGAGAGATCCTGTCAAGTGGAAGTGGTGTTCTGGTTATCTAGACTACCTGACAGTAACAACTGCTTTATTATATTTCAGACTTTTGCAGGTCAGGAGTCTGGGCAAGACTCCCCCGAGTGATCCTTCTACTGACACTGAGGAAATCACTTGGAGGTATTCACCCAACAGGTGGCTTATTGGGAGGGTGCAAGTTAGCTGCACTTGCATGACTGATGCCTTGGTGGCAAGGGATGGAAATGCCCCCAAAGGCCATCTCCACCATGATGGCCTCCAAAATGTTCAGTTTCTTACATTGCAACCCAGGGCTCCAAGAGCAAGAGTTCCAGGGGATAAGATAGCAACTGCAAGAACTTCATGATCCAGTCTTGGAGTCACACAGCATCGTCAGCTCTGCCTTACCCAACCAGCCAAAGTGTCCTCGAGCCTGCCAGGTGGAAAAGAAAGGACACGAGCCTTCACTGCATCCACAGAGCAAATGGCTTGGTGTGCAATTCTGTTTCAAGCAACCTCAGAGAGAAGCACTTTGGAGGATTCAGTGGTCAGATCTGGGTGAGGGCTGGGGATTAGCCATCTGAATCAGACACTCACTGGAGTTACCAAGGACAGATGCCCCTGCTCACTTTTTAAGTCATATGTGAAACCTCTTCAATCTCTGCTTCACTATCAGCCCCATACTCTCATAACTCCACAAAGCTTCATTCCTTAGGATCTCCAAGAGCATTAGAACCTAATCTAGGAGCCTGTGTCTGTCTCTTTGCTGTGTCCTCCTGACATTTATTCCAAGCTTGACACTGGCTAGGACCCAACTCTTCTTTCATTATAGCCTCAAATACCAAGTTCTAGGACTGTACACGCTGTTGTTTTCCTAACCCTACCTTGGAGCAGGTGTTGTTTCCAGACCACAAGTCTGCACTCTGCTACATTGGCCTTCCCCTTCCCAGTGTGCTGTACTCACTCCAATGGGAAGCAAGCAATTTCTGTATCACTGACACCCAGAACCTCCCAGCCCCGACTTCTGACTCTTGGTGAGAGAGCTACATGCATTTTCCTATGGTAGCTCTTTATCAACACCATTCTCTCCCAGTAATTCCACAACTTCAAAAGTCCCTGCCATCGTTTGGTCCATCAAATCACCTCCCCTTATGGACCGCCTCACAACACTCAATTGGCGACACGGCTGAGCCTGCTGCTCACGTTCTTAAGCTTGGAGGCATCTTGGAAACCTCTTTGACTCCATTTCTGATCCTTCCTGAAGCTCCCCTGTCAGGCTCAATGGGATGTTTATCAGAGAGCGCTTCTGTATTTCACAGGAATAAATGGATAACATGAAACCATACTCATTTCAGGTCTGCTCTTTGCCTTCTCCAGCCTGGTCTCTCACCTACTTCTCACCCTTCCTCTGCTTCTTTTCCATGGACTGATTTCCCAGTCTGTCAGGGCCAATAGAGTACACAGCTATGAATGCACCCTGCCTGCCTTCGCACATCCTTTAGTTGCTGTTCATCTCAATAGGTGTTTGTAGAAAACAAACCCTAGCCTCTCTTCTTCCTTCTTTCTGCTCAGTCAAAGCCCACCCTTGGGTCAGCATTGCCTGGAGAATGCCTTACATCTGTGTTCTTGACCAGCATACACATCTTCATGTCCCATGTCTTCATTTGTCCTTCTACGGGAGCTGAACCTCATTGCACTCACTCTTTGGGGCGCTTAGATAGATGCTGAGTATGAGCAGGTGCCGGATGCCTGAATGTGGATCCTGGGAGTACCTAAAGGACCCTTGGCTCACCTAAGAGGTCCTGAAAGATGGGGCGTGATCTTTTCTTCCTCTCTTGCTTTCTCCTATTTCCTATGATTCCCCACTCTTTCTCTTTTGAAATGATGCATTAGATTTTCAAAAACGTAAATAAATGTTCAAAATAAAGAAGGTAGACAATAGGAAGTAGGGAGATTGCTTGCAAGTGAATGGGGGAACAAGGAATGAGGGGAGCGGGAAGGAAGAGGGGTGGAAACAAAAACTTGAGGAAAAATTATGAAAATAGAGCTTTGCAAATGAGAAGGGGACCAAGAATTCAGGAGAGTGGGGAGAGGTAGGGAATTGAGACAGAGACAGAGACAGAGAGAAGTGAAGTGGGATGTGTTCTGCATGCATTCCAATTCCCCACATTAATGACAATCATTAGGTACTGCCAACACGTAGTAATTAAAAAAAAAAAAAAGACAGAAGCAGGAAAATGCTCTTCTGCAGCCCCAGTGATTTATCTCTGTAGGTAGCAGGACTAGAGCAGCAGGCTATCAGACCCCGGACAGCCCTAGAATCCTATTTTACACAGATAGAAACAAGATGGAGCGGAGAAGACTTTCTGTGAACTACAAAGTTGGCGAGGCGAGAGTCGCTGCCTGTGTCCCTTCCACTGCGCCCCCTACAAACTGCAGCTGAAAGGAGCAGAGGCTCTCATTGTTTGAGGCCGGCAGCAGTTTGTCTACCCTCTGCTTTCTAGTTTATCACTTTTGACATCTTCTGCAAACACAGATGCACAAAACACTTATTTCCCTAGGAAGTGCGAAATATTCTTGAGTTTTGAGTCTGACTTTGACGGTCAGAAATGGGGACTGAAGAAGCGAAAAGAAGGAGAACGTCAAGTTAAAATGGGAGGAAAGGGGACCTAAGGAGCCTGCTCCTGGGCCCTTCGGGAGTTCAGGCCCGCAGGTGTCTGAGGTCGCGCCTGTTAAGAGCTCCCCGCCTCCGCTGCACAGCCAGGGTGACGAAGCCAGGGCTCGAGGGATGTCCTGCGCCCTTATGGTGACGCGCGGACCTTGGCGCAGACAGCGGGGTGCCGATCCAGGACACCAGAGAGAGGCGCGGCCGGCAGGATGGGGCTGGGAGGCGTCCCGAGCACGGTCCGGCCGGTTCCCACGCCCAGGTCCTGGGAGACCTCAGCGGCTCAGCCCGGGCGGCCGGGTATAAAGGTCGCGCTGAAGGCAGGGGCGCAGC